TAATTAACCTGCTCAAGAGTGATGATGCTGATGTTCCATATCCAAACACTAGAGGCGCTAATGAGACCACTGGAGAAGTCCAGCCTGAATAAAGCTGACAGAAGTCTTTTTTTTTTTTTTTTAACAATCCTGCAGAAAGTTTTTCAGTTCACAAATGATGGCTGGATTCTCTCACATGCTGTGTGTTTGGGAGTATTTTATCTATGTAATGTAAAAATGCTTGTGAAATTGGTAAAGAGAATGTACTGTGCAAGCTTTTTTTAAATTACAAATGTTTAAACGTGCGGCTAGATAAATATACACGCCTTACCAAAACCAGGGATCTGTGTGCAAGGATGCTGAACAAATTCTTGGCCCCTTGAAGAATATTGTGGCCCCTTGATGGCCCGTTACTTAGAAAAATCCCAGATCTGCCACTTTGTTGCAATAAGTGACATAATAACATATAAGTTATCTGAGGAGGTTGTAACAATTATGTTGTAACCATTAAGTAGGAAATGGAGTTTGACCTGACAGCTCAACTGGTTTCAGGACTGAGAAAAGCTGTCCATGTCCAACCTACTGTGTGACAGGAAGGATTTTTATTTTGGGGTAAACTGTTTAATAACAAGATGAACATGAAAAAAAAACCTTCTCCATTACTGTTCACATATTGACCACAGCAGAATGTACAGATCTTATAGCATTTAAAATGTAGTTTACTGTAAACTCTTTATGGCATGGACATCTTGTACTGCTCCACTTCTCACAGCCAGATGGCAGCACTGACAGCCACATGTCCTCTGATTCTTCAGTGCACTGCAGGAACCCATCATAATTACCCTTATCCTCATTTATATCATCATCATCCACCAGCAACATTCCCACAATCCCACTGAGTCATATACTCTGTAAATACAAGGAAATAGTGTTAATAACTGGATGTTAAATGTTTCGATTTGACTGTGTTTATTGATAAAAAAAATCAAATATAAGGTAAAATGTTTAATCAAACAATCCTGCAGTGACAACATTATGACACTGTGACAGAAAGATGCACGGCTTCACTGCAAAGACTGTGTTTTAATGTCTGCAGAAGGTTTAACTAGATATATATTATTTGACTACTATAAGTGGCACATCTGGCAGCAACATCTGCCTCTTTTAGCAAGTCAGAATGTTGTCTCACCTGCCCTGAACCTGGTTTTAAACTTTGACAGATGGAGGGAAGGTGACAGATAAACAGCTGCAGGTATAATGAAAACATGAACTCAAGGAAGGTGTGTGCTTTCTTCTTTTGCACATGTAGCAGTTTAGATGAAAAAAAAAAAAGATGAGCAAGAACTTTACCAGACAGATTTACCTTCACATTTTATACTTTAATTAGAACAGAATGGAAACCTGAACTGTTGGACAAAAAAGGTTCTTGAATATTTGGTTTGAAGATATTGAGAGGAGGAATGAGATCAACTAAAACTTAAAAACTAAACTAATAAAGATGGGTGGCTGATGATGAAAAGTTTATTTTCAGCCCAGATTCATAGCCTTTACAAACGTTGTCTTTTTTAGATATTTAAGCATGTTTTCAAACACGGACAAATATAATTTAAAAATCAAGATTTTTTTTTCAACATCTTCAAGTGAGTTAAATTTTTTTAAATGAAATAAGGAAAAACAAGCCTGATCAGTCTTTTGACTGATAATTTTAAATCTAAGACTAAAAAAAGGCTTTTATTAAAGACTGAGTTAAAGATTGCTAAAGTATTTCTAATTATTTTAAGTAGTCAACAAAGCAAAGCAAAATAGAAAAATGAAGCCAAACATCAGAGGATGGATAAACATTTGCAAAATGAGGTGCTTCTCATTCAAGTTGGTAGAAAAAATTTACATAAAAAATTATGATTGGACTAAATTACCTCTCCCTGCCTCTGACCAGTATTTGAATATAAAAAAACTGGTGAAAAACTGTTGATAATAATGAGGATTAAAAAAACATAAATGTATAGAAATGATTTAGGAAGTGACAGCTATAGTGTGGAAAAATCCTAAAGTGGACAATTTACATCAATAGGGACGCCATAAGAACACATGAAGTGAATGAGATGGAGTGTCAGTAATGTTTTTTTTAAATTCAGTATATGATTGTAATTTCCCTGTTTTGGTATTAAATATAATAGATTTTGGATCTTTGTACAAAACGTGCTCAAAAACTATAAATGGAAGTTGAAACAGGGCAGTCGTTTACTTGACTCAACCCTCAAATTTTGCACTGTATCAGTTCTCAGGTCTGGTTTCTGTTCCTTCTGGTGAAACACAAGTAATGCTGATGATTGTACACCAAAACAATAGTAAATGTGAGTATTTCCCCACATGATGCTCGTGTGTCAGTGCAATGTGCTGTCTGTCACAGGAACGTCACGTGAGTTCACCTCGGCTGTGTGAGCAGCTGTTGCTGTGACGTCATCTGTGAACACGATGCCCTGGAGTTCCTAGTATAGGAGAAAAAAAAAACTCACACCATTTCTAAAACAGACACGATGCATGTACAGAATTAAGCCTGGATAAAGTGGAACAGGATCACATTCTTCCAACGTCCAGGGCTTAATATTTCCTGTTTGACCCAGACATCAGGGATCTCTGCAGTCAGGTTTAGTCTTCAGAGGCAGGTGAGCCAAGGTGAGGCATTAGAAGGTCACATTGAAACATTTGCTATTTTTGTCATGACTGGATTTAGTTTGTTCCCTGTTAAGCATCTATTAGTGTCTGCTACACTTTGATAAAGCTCTGTCCTCTAGTTACCCTTTCCTGCATAAGATCAGAAAATGTGTATTTTTAAAGCAAGCGTGCACACACAACAAGAAAATAAACAGCTGCAAGTCAACACAGTGAGGCTCGGTTATCTCTCTCTGTACAGTTTTATTTACATGATACTATTCTGTTGTACTGCTGGATAGCAAGATTATATGTAATACATAAATATCAACACAGCTTGTTGTTTTTTTTTCTTTTTTTGTACAAATTTGCATATAACTAAGAGTCAGAAAAAAAAGGAACTCAAGCAGATACACAGTTAAAATAAAAACAAAACATCCTCACGAGGGAAAAGTAACAAGTCACAAACATACATGTGTCAGGCAGCTATGAAAACATACTGTTCAGCACAGATATGTGCTCATGCACACACACAGATACACACGCTCATTCTCTACAGCGCCCTACAGCAGACGCACAGATCCACAGACGGATGAGAAGTTACGACTAGTCTTGATTTCTATTATTTTTCATGAATCTAGCTCTGGCATGCTCCTGTACTTCTGTAAACATGTGCTGATAAACCGGTTAGCTCAACAGCTAAAACGACTGGGGGGAGATCAGGAGGGGGGGGGGGNACATCACACCCACATTCCAACACATACACACTGTGCTCACATGAATGTTGTGTTAGCGCGTTAACAAAAAAACATCAGAAAAATCAATTCTCTGGAAACAAGACTCCCCCAGAACCCAAAACAAGTGAGCGATATTTCTTAAACACTACTTTCAGATGAAGAGTAACTCATGCACTTATTCCATTCATATTTTTTGAACCTACATCTCAAGACTAAAAAAAAAACAAAAACAAACAAAACTACCAACCAGGCTCAGCAGGAACGGGCGCTGTCCTTCCTCTCAGGCCACACGTTCGTGCGCACGGCCTCGCACCAGGCGTCGGATTATAATGAGACTATTTTAAACGTTCAGATCTAAAGAAAAGTGGATTTTTTTGTTTGTTTTTTTGTCCTCCAACTAGCAGGATGTTTCTAATGGAAACAGTGTCGTTACAACCAAACGATGCGCACAGACAAGCTGATCAGAGGGTCAAAGCTCAGGATGAAGTAAAAGGGGGAAGACAACAGCAGCTCTGAGGTAGATAAAGCTAGGAGAGACAAACTAAAAACAATCCTCTTGTGCAACGATGGCGACGTGGTTAATGTGTTTTTAAGCTGAAAGAGAACTAGTGGAGCCTTTTTGTTGTACAGTCTGACCTGCCTGTGTTTGGCCACACAGCAGGGTTCAGTGACTGGACGGTTTGGCACAAAGTGGCACCTGGTCTGGGTGAGAGGAGCACAGCGTGTCCTGGACAGTTTGCCTGGTCTGCTTTCAATGAGACATTTATTCTTTAAAGAAAAATGAAGGACTCAACAGAGGCAAATTCACACCACAAAAAAGAATAAAACAAACTAACAAATGAGTAAAAAAAAAAAAAAAACAAGAAAAGGTGATCATTCATGCATCTCCGTCAAACAAGATTTCTTTTTTTCCCCCCCCATTATTTTCTTGAGTTTGTGATTTTTCAAATCAAGTCCTCTCAATCACCAATCGTTCGAGCCGGTGTTCGTTTCAAGGGTTCTCACTCATACTCCTGTCCGTCTCAAGGTGTTTCCTCGTGACAACACTGCTGTTTTTTTCTTCTTTCTTTTAAAAACAAAAAAAGGAAAAAAAAAAACTATATTCTCTGGATCTTGTCAGCAACAACCACAGGATTCTCTTTACGGATCTTAGCAGCAGCCTCGGACTTGTAATCATAGGGACAGTTGTGCTTGTCGGAGTATCGGTGGATGCCACAGAACAAGTTGCCGCAGCGACAGTCGAACCCTGGAAGCACAAAGGTGAAAAGGTCAAAACCTGAACATCTACAACAGAGAGGCGAAACAAGAAAAAAAAAACATGTAATTTAATCAGATGACCCATCGTTTCCCCCCACTGCTCACCTGTAAGGCCCACCCTTTTGCGGCACATGAAGCACCTGTTCTTCTTAGGTTTGGGGGTGTCACTCTTGCTTTCTTCAGGGCTAGAGGAAGCTACAGGAGTTGGGCTAGAAGCAGCAGGCTGACTTATAACTGCACACAAAAGACCACAAAAACATATCAGCGTTAGATATATTTAAAACATCAGATTTAATAATATAAAGACACACAAACAGATGTGAATCTATAAAAACGTGAATAAATGTGAGCCAACACATCGAAATGAGGATTAAGTCTAAAAGTGGGATATGGAGAAACAGTGTTTTGATTAAAACATTCGCAAAAATTGCATTTTGTCAAAACATAATGAATAAATGCCCTATCAATGTTTCATTTAAATGAACTGTCTGAAGTATAACCATAAAACAAAAATTTCAAGCATTTTTTGAGCAGTAACAACAAAACACCTGATTTTGACTATAAATGCCTTACAATTTTGAGATTTTCCCTGTGAGCTGGCAAAGTTTTGTTTCTTTTCAGATGGGAAATCTCAATATTCAAATATAATTTGAGGTTTCCTCTTTATAAAAGGACAACAAAAATTCCTCAAATTACATAAAATTAGGATTCAGACCAAATATTTATATATTATCGTAACCAGCAAGACAAATTAAGTCATATATATGGACTTACTTATATTAGAATGATCCCGGTATCAAAATATAGCATTTAAAAACAGGAATCTGAAAATGTAATTATGTCCTTTTGACCAAATTTGACTTAATCCTCGTTTCGATATGATGGGTCACAAATAACGTAATTCGTCTCTTTTCTCTGAACTGTCTCATGTTCTTGGCAGAATCCAGTACACCGCTCTGAGGCTTCGGCAGGCAGGAACAAATCTTTGTGTCCTGTGCTTTAGAGGTATTTTTAAACAGGCTTATTTTTAGACACCCGTCTCCTTCTCAGAGGCTGTAAGTAAAACCAACTGTTGAGTTTAAAGGTACGCAGCAAAGTATCAAAATAAACCGGGGCTGCAGCGACTCCTTTAAATCAAAGCTTGTCTTGATGCCTGTCAGCTCTCAACAGTGTGTGTGTGTGTGTGTGTGTGTGTGTGTAAATGCCACAGTATGTTCTAAGACGTGTCTGCTGTACAAACAGGTTTGTGTGTGATTTACCAGGCTCTAGGGGTTCAGGCTTGTCATCTCTGGAAATGCTCATCTCTGTCATCTGTTGAGTTACAGGAAGAGAGCCTTGAACAGTCCTGCAAGTAGAATTTTGAAAAGGGGAAACCAGTCAGTCTGAAGGCTGGGATTTGAGGAGGTATTGTCGAACTAGCCCAAACAATAAACTCAAGAAGACATCACTGACCTAGACATGTCTGGTGACGAGGCAGGGGAGGCATCAACCTTGGCTAGACTGGCTTCTAGTCTCTGGATGGCTGAGGCCTCTGAGGTAGGACTAGCAGTGGAGCCTTAAAGACGACAAAGAGAGTCAGTCAAAACAGTGACGTGTGAAGAAGCATAACAATGAAACCGATTTGACTTTTGAACAAAAACAAAATGAATATACCATCAAGCATAAAAATGTATCACAAACAGGGAAAACAAGGCTTTGTGAGAAACTGGTGGGTGTAAATGTTCTGTCATCTTACCCATCGGGCTGAGGGGGCTCATGCGGTCGCTGCTCTGCTGTCGCGTCAGGTGTTCCTTGTAGCACACGGAGCACATGCCATTGGTTCGTGGGTTGCCATAGAAACCACAGCCCATGGCACAAAGCATGGGGACCGGGCTCTGGTTGGTCTCTTGAGCCATTTCTAGAGGAGACAGAGAGAGAGACGGAGGGAGAATGCTTATTAGGCCCAACAGAAGGGGAGCGACGGAGAAACACCTGGATATGAAAGTAGCCATAAAAAGAGCCGACTGATAACACGGGGAGGGGTTTTATGAAAATTCAACAACCAACATGTCTGTTTTGACTTGCCCCTTTGCTCTGAATGCTGTAATGAGTGCTTCTCCGCAGGAAGCCCAGAGAACAAACAACACACTCTGTTCTGTTCAACAGCTTAAACAGGACTCGCTCTTCTGTCCCTCAGCTCGGTTCACCGCGTTCCCCCTTCCTCCCTTTATCCTTTCCATCCCTAGAACCACCGTGGCAGCTCCGAGAAGAGTAAATACTGCTGTTCCCCAAATCTAATCCACATTTAGAGTGCCTCTTTAAACAGATCCTTAAAGCTGTTTCTTCATAATTAAAAGACGCTGCTTTATTTGTGGATGACTTGAACCCTTTTGACACCTGCTGGGGTAAAATCAGAGAAACAACTTCAGCGTTCCCTTATCAGGGCACCGTACTTCCTCCGTTTGGACACAAACTGTTGCTTTGACTCACCAGCAGCCCCTTCACTGCGAGTGAACAAACATTTCTCATCAGGTGGAATGATGTTCTGTTCCCAGAAGACACTAAAATGAAGTAGGTCAGCTGTTACAGAGAGCCTCCCGTGCTCCTCCTCACACAAGGTACACCGAACCCCCCCTCAATCTTTCCCTCCTGGCTCAACCAATAAACAATCGTGTATGGGTGCAGTTTGGCAGAACAAGCAGTCCTGTGACGTTGTCGCCTGCCTTTGCTGCCTTTGCTGCAATACCACAGGAAGTTGTGTAATGGGAGACACTTTACGCAACAGATCAAAAGCACCCATGACAAACACACAGACAGGAAGACGAATATAATTTAGGTTAAAAAGCACCCCGTCTCCCTGCTTTAGCTTGATCGCATTTCAGCATCCATCTGATCACAAAGCAACAAGATGATAGCTTCCTAGTAAATAAGCTTTGGCCCTGTTCTGACGCAACACGTCAGCTGGTTGCTTGTTTTGGTGTGAAGCCACAAAAACAGGACAGGCAAGCTGACTGTTCAAGGAAAAGGCTGGCAGGTACTGCAAATTTATTCCAGGCGTCCTGACTTAAAAAAAGCCTCGGAATCTCAAGCAAACGTCCCAAAAACCCTGTTTCTTTCTTTGATTCACTGCCCCGATCAAATCACTGGATCAACAAAAAGTTGCTTTTAAAAAGCAGCTACTGGCATAGAGAGCAAGTTGGAAACTGCAACTACAGAGGAGCTAAATGGCAATGAGAGGGGGCCCCAGCAGTTAACACATGAACCATGACTGCTAACTTAACTGACACAAAGGAACAATGGATGGCAAGACTCAGCTGTCACGTCTGGCCCAGCTGTCATGCAAACAGCACACATGTCACCTAAACACACAGACACCCTCAAGCCTTCATCGAAACTGCCAACAACACAATCTGACACGGCTACATACAAACCAGGTCTCAGATACAACATTAATAGTGCGCTATAAAGCCTAGCTGACAGGGTTTGTCTGGGGATTTCCAGACAAACAGACACAACCACAATTTCCTTAAACATAATAAACCTCCTCACATCACAATAAAAAATAATAATAATAATAAAAAAAAACCAAGAGAACCGTTTTCTCCTTAAACTCTGCAGTGGTTTTTCACAGCTCTGGGCAGTTCTAGTCTCTCTAAAAAGAAACATGTGTGGCCTAATCTCAAGCAAACAAAGGGGAAGACTGTGTCTCTTTATCATCCGCGAACTGGGCTCATATTTCAGGCCCTGCTGGCTTAGAAACTCCTGAGTCACAGTGAAGGGCAGGCCAGAAAACAGATTACAGTTTGATGTTTAGCATTCACCTAAAACTGTTATAATATGTTAAAAGACATTGCTGAAGCTAAAGAAAACAGCGACAAACAACCAAGAGTCTAGACTGTGGTCTCTCTGCTCTCTTTGTTTCTTCCCTCTTCCTTTGTAATCTTCTTGCTTCCTGTTTAGACATCGTTTCGTATCTTTTATGCTTACACGCATTTTCCGTGTTCCCATCGAAGCAATGTTAAAATAAAATGGTTATATAATCACAATTAAGCACTTAGAAACGGCTCGCTGATCCCACAAAGCCTTTAAACATCGAGCAAACCCTCTTTATCTCCGAGCAGAAACTACTGCAAAAAAGCCCACCCTTTTAATCGGTTAATATTTAGCGAAAAGCTGTACAGTAATTTGAGAGCAGGTCTTTCGCTGTACTTGTCTATTCGGCTTATAAATTTTCTATTTCTAGACAGGAATTAACAGGCTTTGGAGATCCCCCATCCCCCCAGCTCGGGACGAAAATGAAAAACAAGAGACAGAAACCAGGACTAGCTATAGCTCCCTCCCTTGGCTTGTTTTTTTGGTCCTGACTAAACCAGAGTCACGTTCGAAGACCTGTGATATGAAGTCAGGTGGAGGAACACGGTGGTGGGAAGTTAAAGGAAAAAGACCACAAACGAAAGAAGAAGAAGGTTGTTCGCCACACAAAACCCACCGAGCACACACCGCCTGACCTTTTAAGCCACAGTTAAAGGTCGCCATGATCGACCACCCTCTCAGCAGAAACACCCACGGCTTTAGCTGCTTACCGCAACAAAGTGAACTCGACTCAAAAGTCTAAAAATAAACCCAAAGACATTTAAAGATAATCACCTGCTTTAAAAAGATGAGTTTCTCGCGAGAGGACAACAAAAGTAGAAAACGGTCGACTGTTTCGTGTCCTGGTATCGTCCTGTTTTCGTGTCTGGGCAGCGGTGTTTTTGTGTCTCGTCGTCCTCTCCGTCAGGCGGCTTTAAACGGGTCTGGCTGTCCCCCCTCCTCGGCCTCCTGCCTTTCCTCCTTCCTCTCTCCGTGTCCCGTCCTCTTCTGGATGGATGTTTGTTTCCTTCTTTAGCTAGAGGAGTGGCGGATGATGTCACGGGTGGAACAACGTGTCCCCATTGGCTGCGCGCGGAGCCCCCGAGCTGATCGCTGCTGGAGGGAGGAGGGCGGGTGTGCGCATGCGCAAGGTCAGGATTGCGTTTATTGTCTATACGTCATCCACCTACAAGGACACGAATCCATTTACTGAGTAATCCACCTAAATGGAAGCATGAATGAACAAACTAGTAGGACATATAATAATAATAATAATAATAATAATAATAATAATAATAATAATAATAATAATAATAATAATAATAATAATAATAATAATAATAATAATAATAATAATAATAATAATAATAATAATACAGAGCATAACCAAAAACCCAGTTTGAACAGTTCATTCCATAAAAGGCAACATATTACTATTTAAATTGTCCATAGGCTGTATCTTATCAAATAATTTAGGTCTATACAGTGAAATGTGAATCTACAACTTCAAAAATAGTTGGTTTGTTGTTTCTCTTTTACTCAGACACACAATGTAAACACTTGTATCAAGCAACAAAAACAAAGGTGTTATAAAGGTTTGAAGAGGCTTCAAAACATGTTGCCAACTGATTCCAACTAGTTCCCAAACCAGCACTATAAATAGCAATGTTTTAAAATGATAATCTTGTAAAGACAGTAAAGAAACCTCCAAATCTCCACCTAAATCATCACAACTTCAGCCCCAACTACCAATTTTCTGCTCTGATGAGCCCAAACGCAGTCCTCATCCAGAAACTAAGATAAAATATTAAGTTGAATCAGCTGGAAGATCAAATCAACACATGCACAGCCGTCATCTTCTCTATTCTAACATCTATCATCTAAATTTAAACTTAAAAATTAGATTTGCAGAAGTGCACAAACAGGAAACAGCATACACATGCACATTGTGTTAATGTTTGGATTTTAACCACAGTTTGTGAGGGTTAAAAAGAAGTGGTAACTAGAACTGAAAGATATCTGTATTTTCTTATAAAACAAAAATAGTTATGTGGATTGTTTAGCAATTTTTTTGAATTGCACCAAGAAGATACTGTTATATTATCATGATTAAATGATATGTTGTATAAATCATGATCACATAGTGAAACAAAATATATCAGTAAATTAACAACAATTCTGAAGTTGATTGTTAACTGACTGTAAGATTGGACACAGAAACTGATCAGATTTGTTTACTTCTTTGAGGCTGACTAAACTGGATCAGCAGCAGGACTTTGGACTCCTGACCCGACCAAAACCTGCTGATTAACAAACATCACAGTGAAAACCTCAGAAAAAAGACGAATCACATGAATTATTTTTGTTGAAGGAAGTTCAACGCTGACTTCTGTTTCTGTTTGTTTATTGGTTTGTTTTAGCTCTACAGACAAGATCACGTCATTTACTGGCTCTGCTGTTGTGAAATGTACAAACCAGCTACTTCCAGTGTGTTGTTCATCGTGTTGTACAGTTTGCTCTAAGGTTCAACAAGTCTAAACATATCCTCCCCACCTATTCAGGGTTACGTCAAGCACATGTCCCTGAGCGCTGCAGGCGGCTCCGTTGATCAAGCAAACACTCGTGGTGTGTGTGTGTGTGTGTGTGTGTGTGTGTGTGTGTGTGTGTGTGTGTGTGTG